CGTGTCCTGCTGTTTTTGTCCTCTCTGTGGCCCGCTTCATAATGCTGCCCTCTTGTCTGCATATGGCTCTTCTGGACCCAGTGACCAGTGCTTCTTTTTAACTTCAACCTTGCTACCAATCACCTCATGTTTCCAGTTTTCCAGTTCTCCAGGGATCACAATGATTAGCCCAACTCATCTTTACAAAACGTAGGTCCTAAGACATGGATCAGAGGTCACCGTGTTAGAGCTGTCTTTGTGTTAGGTGTCTGAGCCCATTTGTTTGTATTTTCGGTATTTAGGAGTAGAGTCACATGTTCTAAAACATGGCCAACACTTTCTTAGAGGTTAGTGGACAAGGAAACTTCCCATGGAAGACAGTATGTCAAACACAACTTCTCTACTGCACTGTGTGCAGGAATCTAAAGGGATTTCCAAACGTCAATGGTACATAAAAGCAGCAGGCAAGGCTCTGAGGGAAGTAATTCACTTTCCTATTACTGAACACAGTACCACCTGCTGTGTAGTGTTCATGCAATTTAAATAATAATGTAAATAAAAGCAACCACAAAATAAATGCCATGCATTGATTTCTTATTTTATGTCACACACTTCACATACATTATTAATAATTCTTCCAATAACTCTAAAGGATGGATACAAACATCTGTATTTTACAGAAGAGATAGATGTTCGGGAAGCTTAAGTAACTGGTCCAAGGTAACATCACATGTAAGTGGTAAATAACTGAGGTTACTCTGATTCTAAAATCTGCATGTCTATACCGTATTGTGCTGACAATATATTTTTGTATTTCAACAGTCAAGAATATTTTAAAGAAATTAGGATGAGAAAAATACTAGGTAATATTTATGCAGATATTCACCTTTTCCGTTTCTCTTCCTTTATTCCTCAAGTTTCAAGTGAACCCTGGTGTCATTTCTTTCAACCTAAAGAAATTCCTTTTCCTATGTCTTTATAGAACAAGTCTGCTTTGATAAATTCTTTCTTCCTCCTTGAGAAATGGCTTCTTTTTCCCTCTTTATTCCTCAGAGATATTTTCACTAGAAGAAGAATTTGAGATTGATAGTTCTTTTCTTTCATTGCCTTAAAGATGTTGTTCTACTCTCTCCTGGCCTCCATCATATCTGATGAGAAAATATGGTCCTTGGGATTGTTGTTCCCCTGTATTCAATATGTTTTCCCCCTTACCTGCCTGTGACTACTTTCAAAACTTTATCTAAGGTTTTCAGTAATTTTATTATTATGTGTCTAGGCTGATTTTTTTTTCCAGTTTTTGTTCTTTGGAGTTTGTCGAGTTTCTTGTATCTATAAATTTATCTTTCACCAAATCTGGGAATTTTTCAGGCATTATTTCTATGAATGTTCATTCGGCACCAATATGGTCTGCCTCTGCCTTAGGGACTCCAGTGACACAATTGTGACATCTTTTGATGTTTTCTCTCAAGTCTCTGAGACTCTAGCCATTTTTTAAAACATTTTAGTTATTTATTTGAGAGAGAGAGAGTGAGTGAAAGAAAGAGAGAGAGAGTGCATAAGCAAAGGGAGAGGCAGAGGCGAGGGAGAAGCAGACTCCCCACTGAGCAGGGAGCCCGATGTGGGACTCGATCCCAGGACCCTAGGATCATGACCTAAGCCAAAGGCAGACGCTTAACCGACTGAGCCACCCAGGCACCCCTGACTCTAGTCATTTTTTATTTCAATTTCTTTTCTTTCTGTTCAGATTGGATAATTTTTTTTTTTTTTTAAGATTTACTTATTTGACAGAGAGAGACACAGCGAGAGAGGGAACACACAGGGGGAGTGGGAGAGGGAGAAGCAGGCCTCCTGCGGAGCAGGGAGCCTGATGCGGGACTCAATCCCAGGACCCTGGGAACATGACCTGAGCTGAAGGCAGATGCTTAACCGACTGGAGCCACCCAGGTGCCCCAGACTGGATAATTTCTACTGCTCTCTCCTCAAGTTCACTTGCTCTTTCTCATCTCCATTCTGCTATTGAGCTCATTTCATGGATTTTAAGTTTCAGATGTTATATTTTTCACTGCAATTTAGTTCTTTTTTTTATAGACTCTATTTCTCTTTCAATAATTTCTGTCTTTCATTTCAAGAGTGTTCACCTTAGTTCATAGAAAATGGTTCTAGTATCTGCTTTAAAGTCTGTATGATAATTCACACATTTGAACCATCTTGGCAACTGCTGATTGCTCATTCCTTTGAGAATTGGTCAGATTTTCATGGTTGTTAGTATATCATGTAATTTTGGATTATAGCCTGGACATTTTGAATATTACGTCGTTAGACCTTGCACACTGTGAAACTTCTGTGGAGAATATTGATTTGTTCTTTGAACAAGCAATCCACCTGCATGATTTGTCCTTCAAGGTTAGTTCAGTTTTCAAAGCCTTTGAGATGCTGTTTGGGTCTGCTGGGGCGTGTATATCAGTCAGGGCTTGCTCTGGTACTTGGGTGATATTTATACTGTAATTCAGTTCTCAAAGCCTTTGTTGTACTTATTTGGGCATTTTCTGTGCATGTACAACTTGGGGGGTGAGCTCATCACTTGTGTAGTTTCAAACACAGAATTAGAGATTCTCTTCTCTGGTTCTTGCTCATCTGTGGGGTTTCTTCCACATCCTCAGGCTTCCAGGGCCCACTTTTCCAGTTTGTCTGGCTGGAAAGATTAGTTTCTCAGCATGGGCCTCCTGGGCCATGGCCCAGTTTCATGCAATTGTACCACAGTACAAAGGAGTGAAAGAAGAGGAAAACCCCCAGAGCAGTGGTTCCTTGACTCTTTGCAAACTGGGTGTCCCTTTTTCTGCTTCTATTTTTTTTTTTAAGATTTATATTTTTATTTGAGAGAGAGAGAGAGAGAGAGAGAAAATGTGGGTAGGGGGGGAGGCAGAGGAAGAGAATCTTCAAGCAGATTCCCTGCTGAGCACAGAGCCTAATGCAGGGGGGCTTGATGTGGGGCTCCATCCCAGGACCTGAGCCAAAACCGAGAGTCGGTCACTCAATCCATTGAACCACCCAGGCACCCCATTTTTCTGCTTCAAATAGCCAAAAGGTTGAATCGTCTTTTGGGATCTTAGGTGTCCATGCCTCCCCTGGGGTAGCAGTGCAGATCTACTTTTGAGGCCTCGAGGCAGGACTGGGAGAATAAAAAGAGAAAATTCAGCATGGGGACTTTGCCTAGACTCTGGCTTAGAGGGACAACTTTTCCTGCTGATCTATCCAGAATGGTGATCTTAACTCCGGGTTTTTTGTTTTGGTTTTTGTTGTTTTTTTGTTTTGCTGTTTGTACCTTTTATAAAATTCCCAATTTGGCTTGCCTTCAGGCCAAATCCAGGAGGAGAAAAAAAGGAAAAACTCAGAAAACTCTTTGTAGCCAGTTTTATCTTTCCTTGGGGTTTGACTTCTCTCCTTAATGCACTTGCTATTTACTTTTCAGACTCCTGAGATAGTTGTTTGCCAAGCGTGTCCACGTTTTAGTTGAAGTCAGGGGAGCCACAGAATGGGCTCCTTTTTCTGTGGACTGCATCTTAATCATGTTTTCACCCCTAGTACTTGCCACAGAACCTACCACATGATAGACAAGTAAATGAAGGGAATGCAAGTGTAAAATGTGAGGCTCACCAATGTGAAGGAAATCTTTGTGTGTGTGTGTGTGAATGAAAATGTAAAATGTGAAGCTTGCCAATTCTCCAGCAAATTCTTGTATGACCTGGATGGCATGTGTTTGGCTCACTGTTTGCTACTCTTCCCACACTCAAAGATGGTCAGTACTTCTCTACTGCTTGGCTCCCTGTGGAGCCTGAATGCAGCCACAGAATATTCCTAACATCCCAAACCTGGAAACCACTGTCAGGCGAACAGCATGGGATGTGGGGTACAAGCCGGCCTTTTACTCCTGTCTTTCACATGTGTCCACACATTTTCCAGCCTTCATTTCCAATTTAAATGCAATGCCTCCTCCTCACAAATTTCCACCTTCCTATACTCCTTGCTCTAAGATTCCAGCTGATGGACACAGTTTTTTCTTTGCCAGGTGGGCTTGTGGAAAAAAATCATTTTTTTTGCTTTCTTATATAAAGTTCTATGTTTTCATTAAAAAATGTAATTTGACTAATGTGTTTTATGGGGCTTTCCTTCATTTATACCAAAAGGAACTTATGTTAGTGTTTTAGCCCTTGGGAAATGATGAATTTGTTTAATAGATCAGTAATTATCCCGCTCAAAAATGATCATTAGAATTCCTCTTTATTTGATTACTATGTATCACCAAACCCACAATCCATTTATCACCAGCTGCATCCATTAATTCAGCTATGCTGGTCTATGCATAAGAGACTACTCTAACTTCTCATTTCGAGTCTTTCTAAGAAAAATCTTGGTAGAAAGTAGTATGCCTTAAATATATCTGATTTAAAATCTCAGTCTATACAAACCTTTCATTTTGGTTTTGTTTGCCATTTTTCTTACCTGAAGACTATTTTCCAATAGAGTCGCAATCTAAATAGAAGTATACTTTTTTGTTAGGGGATTGGGGTGATTATTAGCTTCTAGGGGATGACAGTGATAGTAAGAAGCAATGTTTGTAAATGTGAATGCCTTTTCATGTCTTTGTATGTTTGGTATGAAACACCTAGCTGTGACCCAACTAGGTACTTACTCAAGGGAACGCTTTCCAAAACTAGAACATCCCCACTTCTAAAATGGAAAACACAGTCAGGAAAATGAGCTCCGAGAGTGTACTGAGCATGTGTGTGGTGCAAATAACAACTGTGAGTTAGTTGAAGGTTGACATCACTAAGTACAAAATTATCTAGTAAGGTTTCCTTTGGATTGTCATTCAGGACCCATGGCTTGGGACTCTGCCTAGCTGTGCCATGACTGAAATCAGAACAATAAAGAGGAAAGAAACTGACTGTGTGGTACAATCTAAGTGGGATTCACAATCTAAATGTGGTTTTCTTTTCTCCTTTTCCCCGTGGGGTCTCCAGTTTACCGTGGTTTCTGGGCAGTCCTGATGCTTCTTGGGGTCGTCGCCGTGGTGACTGCGAGCTTTCTGATCATCTGTGCAGCCCCCTTCGCGAGCCACGTTCTCTATAAAGCTGGTGGAGGCGGGTACATTGCTGGAGGTATGTGCAAGGCAAAGGGTGTGATTTCCAGTCATGGTTTTTCTCGACAGCCTCATATTTTCCTTTTCTAGTTTCAGGTTTCAGGCCTCTAGTAGTAGTAATATAATGATATTCATATGCAGTTTTGCTTGAGGGCCCATTATACGCAGACCCTTCTCCAGGGACTTTGCGTTTTCCACGTGCTCCACAGCATTTGCTCACTGTATCCACGTTGTATGAAGAAGGCACTAGAAGGGAAAGCTCTGTTCTTTAGCCTCTTTTAACCTATTTATTTTCTATCTGTAAAATGGATTCATAGCATGTCTCTCTGTAACATCAGGATATGGGTGAACTTTTCTGTGCACTCTTAAAGACATAGCCTCACGATGGTATTACAAACTGGCATGATTTATTTATCACAGGTAAAAAACATCTCTTTCTACAATGTCACCACTCACTTTTCTTAATTGTGGTTCATTTGCGTTATAGAAACACATTCTCTCTTTGGCGAAACCTGCGTTTGTTTTAGTCAGCTTTCCAACTAGTCTTTTTAATGCCTTTACAGTGATCTTAGTATAAATAGAAAAATAATTGACTAGGTGTGTCTTAGGAATATCAAGTGTTTTTCATTTAATTGGAAAATAAAAGCCAGAACATTAATCTGAAAACATGTAAGCACAGGTGATTTGTAAAGATAACAGTTCTAGAAAATGAGACAAACATCACTATGACCAAGACCATATTGTACATGGCTATATGCTATATCGTAACATCAAATCAGAAGGACAAAGTGTTTCTGTATGAAATGGTAGTGATAGTAAAGAAACAGAATGGATAGTTTTGTCATCTCTAAATCATTGCAGAGACAGCTCCTGATGTTGTCCATCATCATTTAATCAATGACCAATTAACAGTTCATTTAAGCACACTTATTACATAATATTGTGCTTAATTCTGTAGCGGGAATAAAAAGAATAATCAGATATGGATCCTCCGTTCGAAGAGTTCAGAAAAGAAAAAAGAAAAAGAAACAACCCACCAAAACCAAAACCCATCCTGTGAATAAGAGTCCTGTTAAACCTATTCTGTCATTCTTTTGTCTTTTATTCAATTCTTTCCTCACTGGTTTTTTTCAAGGACCTTGTTTTCAAGGGCCTGGATTTACCTACAAAATTCACCATTTTAAAGTATATAATGCAGTGGGGTTTTTTTTAAAGATTTTGTTTATTATGTTATGTTAATCACTATTACATTATTTTTTGATGTAGCGTTCCGTGATTCATTGTTTGTGTATAACACGCAGTGCAGTGCTTTTTAGTACATTTCCAGAGTTGTGCAAATATTACCACTCTCTGATTCCAGAATATTTTTTTTTAAAGATTTTATTTAATTATTTGAGAGAGAGAGAGAGAGCCCAAGCAGAGTGAGCGACAGGCAGAGGGAGAGGGAGAAGCAGGCTCCCCACTGAGCAGGGAGCCCCACGTGGGCTCCATCCCCGGATCCTGGGATCATGACCTGAGCCAAAGGCAGACACTTAATTGACTGAGCCACCCAGGCGCCCCTAATTCCAGAATATTTTTATCACCTCACAAAGAGACCTTATTGTCTCCCCTCCTTCCCTCCCCCTGACCCTGAGTTAACACTCGTCTACTTTCTATCTCTGTGGGTTTGCCTATTTTGGATATTTCTTATCAGTGGATTCACACAGTGTGTGGCCTTTTGTGTCAGGCTTCTTTCACTTTAATCTCAATTTATAATCTCTCTTCTTTAATTCATAATTCCATAAGACCAAATCCCTTATATGCCATAAAACTGAGCATTTTCTGAGCCAAATGTTTTTACCTTCTCCAAACCACATTCTACCTTTGCTTTGTTCCAAGGTCTTGTGAAGGTACATATTTTTCCATGGTCTTCCCAGAAATAACAGCTGTCTACTAGAGCATATAAATATTTGTTTCTTCTCATTGCTTACCTTTCTTTTTAAATCTTTTCCAATAAAGGAAATATGTATAGTTAACCCTGGAACAATATGGGTTTGAACTGTGTGGGTCCATTTATTTATACATGGACTTTTTTTTTTTTGATAAATACAGTACAGTCCTGTAAATCCGTTTTTTCTTTTTTATGTTTTTACAGTACCGTCCTGTAAATTTACAGTACAGTCCTGTAAATCTATTTTTTCTTTATGTTTTTCTTATGTTTCTTTTCTTAGCTTACTTTATTGTAAGAATACAGTGTATAATACATATACAAAGTATATGTTAATTGATTATGTTTTCAGTAAGACTTTTCTGGTCAACAGTAGGCTGTCATGAAATCTTAGGGGAGTCAAAGCTACAGGCAAATTTTCAACTACAGTTAAGTTTTTGTGGTGTCAAAAGTTACAGGCAAAAAAAAAGTTATAGGCAAATTTTCAACTGCGGTTCAGTTTTGGGGGAGTTAAAATTTATAGGCAGATTTTCAACTGCACAAAGGTCAGCACTCCTAACCCCACAGTGTTCAAGTGTCAACTGTAATAGCATGAGTTTAGTACACATATGGACAGCATGGTTGTTTTAAACTCAGAAACGCTCTGATCCTTGGTTTAGTCTGATCAAAGAATTGTGTGTCTGTGTGTATGTCTCGTGCTTTTGAAAAAAAAAAAGAAAGTTGGTCATTTTTAAATTGTGCAAGAAGGTAGTATATCCAAATTACATTTGGCTGAGAACTCTGTAGGAAGGTAAAAGCATTTGGTATGTACTCATATGCCGGTGACCAGTGGGTTTTCTTTTTGTGATGAATCTTTGCTGTGTGTGGGAATGGGGCTGGGGTTCCCCTTGCTCAGATCTTCTTCTAAAGTCCCCTGGGAACTGAGCGGTGTCCATGGTATTCTGGGACCCATTCTGCAAACAATCAAACTGGACAATTACGAGGACACTTCCTTTCAAACTTGACTTTTAATTTCCTTCATGGCAGAATTCTTTATTGTTTGTGTAGGACCATTTGTTCCCACAGAACACAGAGAGAGATTCTGTTGGATGAGACAAAATTAGCTTGGGCAGAAAAAGTGATGTTCTCAGGAATAATTGAAGTTTACAGTCTAGTGTCAATTTCCACAGTGAAACACAATTCTGCAAGGCAGTTATGGGGCCAATAAATCATCCTTCATCTTCAGTACTTCTCGATAGAAGAATTTTTAAAATCTCTTCAATGTTTATTACCAAAATTCTCAGGTAATGTTAATAGGCAACTTAGCCTCTCAGAGTCGAAGGTGGAAACTTACATGCTATGCTGTATGAACACTTGGCAAATATGTAGCAAACACTAGGTTTTTCGGCCAGCCAAATTTTTGTGTGCCACATTTAATATGGAACCACGCATATAGTCATCTACGAGTTAAACTGAATTGAATTTATAATGCTTTCTTTGGTTAGATTTTATATTTTCAAAATGAGGAGATCTCATTCTATGGGCCTAGTGTTCTAGAATCTCTTTGTTTCTTATGGCTTGCCTCGTCGTTCCCTGCCTCACCGAGCCTCCTGTGCTGCCCTGTGCCAACGCTCTTTGCTCTGCCGGTTGGCTAGGAACAGGTGCAGCTTGGGCCTGGGGTTGCTGTGGCAGCTTTATCAATGCCACAAACAAGATGGTACCCTCTCTCTTTCTTTGGACAGATGGCCTTAGAACGGGGAATAGCCAAATTCCAAATGGCCAGTGCTGGATATGTGCATGCACAAAGACTCTTTGGCATTAGCAGGAAGACTGTTTTTGAGCATTCCATGCATGGCTGAGTCATGCTGATGTCACAGTTGTCCCTGTGAGTAAGGGGCGGGGCCCATGGTATTCCTCTTGCTCTGTCAACAGGCTCAGAGCAAAGTGTGGAGGGCGTATGTTGCCACTCCTCACAGCTGGGCAAATTCCTTTTCAGGCAGGCTAGGCCGCGTGTTCCCCAAGGAGGTTCAGTTCTGGAACAAGCATTTGGTATGTACTCGTACGGTACATACATGAGTATGGTAATTGTCAGGATGTTACAACGCCGACCCTGTTGCAATGAGTTCTTGTCACACACTCTACAAAGCCTAAACAAATGCTGAAATTCGTTTTAATGTGGACTTCCAGAGGACTTTCAGATCCAAAGGGCCTGACGCTTGTCTTCTCCTATCCCTGCGATATTAAAGATGACAGGAAAGATGCAGAAGTTAAAATGGGTAGGCATAGCATTACAAAACGTTTAAAGTATATGGAGGAAATTATTATATAGCTGAAACTTCCTAGTACCTGGGCAAAGCGACGTCAAGACAGGAATTGCTGTGCATGAGTAAGACTTCTAAACGTACAGGAAAGAATAATGACGTGATCTGGAAATTCTGGGATACTGACATCACTGGGTAATAAGCCATAAAACTTAAAATTGGTATTTTACCAGGATATTACGGTACAAAGGTTTTTCTTTTGTAAATGAAATCACTTTTTCCTGAGTGACAAAGTGGGTTTAAATTTTTCTGCTGAATGTAGAGCTTGACAGAGTCCCTCCTGTGTAGAGGTGCCTGAAAAGTTTCTGGATCTCGGCTAAATCCTTTGTGGGACCCTCACATTGGTGAGACTACATGGACATCTTGTAAGTCAGAGGAATATAGCAGCCTTTATTCTAGACCCAGGAGGTATTAATGGGAGCCAAGGGTACCTTTGCAGTGTAATTGGTTCTTTGGAACAGTTAGTCCTTTGGGGGCAAAGTAGTGATTTGTCTCCTGCCCATTCTGTGACCACAGAGGATGCTCCTTGCCCAGACAGCTGTTGCTCAAGCCATTAATGGTAACCAGGGATATAAGCTGAGTGAGTTGGGATGAATTTTATAAATCCTCTGCCATGTGGGACAAACTGCTAGAAGCACATCCTTCCACAGCTCATCCCTGTTCCCTTTGGATCTGGAGGACAATGCTTTCTAGAAGCGTAGTGATGTGAACCTTCTTAAAAAAGTGACATAGGAAAGGTGAGAGGATATGAAGGGAATATAAAATTCTGAGTACAAAATATATAAACTACTG